CTCCGGAAGTCTATTTTATTTAGGTTATAGTTGCATCCCACCTTCAGATAGCTTTGAGCGGCATCCATGGTTGCTCTCCCACTGCATATTTATCCACAAAGCAACCCTGTGAGGTCAGTTAGTTTAAGAGACAGCGACAGACCCAAGATGACCCAGTATGCTTTGTTGTGGTTCAGTCAGGAACAGAACTCAGTTCTCTGCAATGTAAGCCTAACCACCGTGCCACATCTTAAAATACACCTTTGCTATGAAATACTGGAACCCTTTGCAAAGTGCCACCTAGGATGCAGTGCGCCATTTTCCTATGAAATCCTTTTGCAGTACTAACTTCATAGGCTAATATGCCTCTGTAGACTTTGCTAGTGCATGCACAAACCAATGCCAGTATCAGTTACTCAATGTGCAAAATGGCTTATAACAATGGGATGTCTCTCAAACTTGGGAAACTTACATTCTGGCACTGCTCCCTAGAAGTGAAGAGAAGGAATCCTGAGCAAGTAACGTTAAGCAGATGATCTACACCTTCTAGATAGGCAAGGCAACATGGTGTAAGGGGAATCCAGCTGTGACACCGGGTCAAGGCAGTAATTGCGCCCCTAACTGGATTGTGCCCCCAACCTGTTATTTGGCCCCTAACCGTGGATTTGCCTACACCAATGTTGGGGGGGGCCCCCCTGCACCCCCCACGCGTACGCCACTGCGGGGGAATCACCTAGAATCGTGCACATAATTTTACACTGTACCTTGCTGCTGTTTCTTTACTGATCAGTTTGCTGGTTATACCAAGGCGTCATGCCACTTTTTCTTCAGACTGCCAGGCATATTTCAATATTGTACTCAAGATTGCTTCAAAGAGGAGGATTATTAGATAGATGATCAAAAAGGAATTCATAGACCTAAGGAAACAAAATTGGTGGGTGCCCATTTAATGCACAAATATCCACAGGATGGCAATAACCCTGTGAAAAAAGCTTCATTAGCAAGCATGGGAAGACTGGGCACAATTCAAACACAACCATACATTGCTCCAAAAACACATCCCCATGCATGTTTGTGGATGGAGATAAAAGCAACTCCAGTTAAAAAATAAGAGGGTGATTCGGTCTTTGCGTGAATATGACCTTCTAGTTTGTAGCCAGAGGTCAAAATCGGCCACAGTAGAGGAAGAATATCTTGCTCAGGACAGAAGAAAGGAAGAACTGTTCAGTCTTATGTTCCCCTCCTGTTTCTTTTTTCTTTTTTAAATAATATTTATTGAGTTTCCAAAAATTTAAATTTAAACACTACAAAAAACAAACAAAAAAAACAAAAAAACAACACAACACAATACAATACAAAAACACTACAAAACTAACACATAAGACAAATAAAACAAAACAAAGACCATTTAAAACATATTAAACAATTTCAATGTCATATCTTTCGTTCGCTTAATTTCACGACTTCCTCACACCTCCCTTTTTGTATTCCACTCCCCTCATTTCTAACCACCTCTGGTTGCGCAAGAAGAATGCTGCTCTTCCCTATGAGGAACAGGGGATGCAAAGTCAGGAGGAGAAATCCTCTGTTCCCAGCCTAGATAGGAAAGGGACTGGAAAGACAATATGGCTATGGGGGAATTTGGAAGGACAGGCTCATTAAGCAGAAAGTGCAGCAAAGCAAATCCTTGGAGAGTGAAGGGCAAGTAGACACGGCTGATCAGTCCTAAAATACTCTGGACTACGTCAAATATTGTTGTTGTTTTTGTTGTAGTTTAGTCGTGTCCGACTCTTCGTGACCCCATGGAGAAGAGCAGGCCAGGCACTCCTGTCTTCACATCAAATACAGAAGGCCCAATTCTCATGTCATTTTCCAGCACAACACCTCAGTTCTCTTCAGAAATTTAAGAGGTTACAATAGGATTATTTTTCCATTCCCCCGAAAATTAGCACTTAAAACTTCCAGTTTTGCAGCTTACAATACCCTATGAGATCTTCTAAAGCATTACAATTATCCAGTCAGTGAAAATCTGCAGGACACATACTTTTCTACTGCTGATCGTTTCTGTGATTTACTCTTGTAATTTAATGCCATCTTCGTCTCCATTCCTGTATACACTGCAACACCTACAACAAACAAGATCGATGTTTAGACTTGGTATCTGCAGCATGAGCTGATTAAAAAAGAAAAAAGCAGAGTGCTATTTTTATCGTTGTGACTGCAAAGCCATACAAGAAACATTAGATTTGTAGCAATACTCTGTTATGAGAAACTGTGGGCTTGTTCAGATCCAAAGCTAAATCCCAGCTTAGCGCCATGAGAACTGGCTGCAGTGCACACTCCCTGCCACCACCGCTGCCTCCGGCAACAGCTGTAAGGAGGCGTCTGAGAGTTGTTGCTTCTGTTTTAATTTAACTGCAGCTTGTTTTGCCATCCCACACTATGGACTAACTGTCGCTCACTACGGTTAGGGGAAAACCAACTGCTAACCATTGTTTTATGAAGCTGCTTTATTTCAACTAATTGTTGTTAATCTTAACTATAATCTGGATTAACCATTGCTTATGCTGAACTGTGATGCATCTAAATGGAGGAAGCAGCCTCTGCTCTCCTCATGATCATGCCAGAAGGGGGAAACAGGCCTGCCTTGTACAAAGTTATGTCCAAACACAGCCAATTTAAGTCCTATTGTGAGCTTGTTCTGAAGTCTGTGCTAATAGCCATTATACAAGGGGTATGTGAAACCCGTCAGCCATAAAGTTTTCATTTGTGGAATTTCCTCCCCGAAGAGTTGTGCCTAGCATTTTCATTAAGCAGTTTGTGTTGCACACTGAAGATGCACTTCTTTACTCAGGCTTTTGACCCCAGAGAGAGAGATTTTTAGGAACCAGCCTACTCTTGTGACTGCCATTTGTTTTCAACTGTTTTTAATATTGTATTTTAAATTGCTGCAACCCACCCCAAGACCTTACGGTGAAGGGCAGGCAATACATCAAAGTATTAATTATCATTATTATTACATCTAATATACTGCAGTTGCACGTGAAATTTGCTTTGAAATAATAGCCACCTAAGTCAAATGCTCCACAAAACTGCATCAGCTTTTTCACTCTTTGAAACATGCTTGGGAAACAGCTGGTCAAGCATATAACCACCAGGGTATTAATTAAGGCATTCCAAATGGAGATATGCTGGTTTTGCAACATCTTCATTGACTTTCACTTGGTTTCAGAGTCCAATTCAAAGTGCTGCTTTTGCCCTTTAAAAGCCCTGTATTGTTTGTGTCCAGAATATGGCAAACTCTTATCTTTTCCTAAGGGGCTCTGCTCTGTGTTCACCCAGAGTCAAAGTATGGTTGACAGAATGGTGGTACCTGGGACAAGGCCATCTCTGGAATAGCAGGAAGTCGGTGGAACTCCTTTCCCAAGGGACCAACTCCAACCTTTCTGTTAGTTTTTAGAAGCCAGACAGACATTTTATTCTAAAAGGAGGCTTTGCGGGGCTGGTAACTGCATTTCTGGTTGATGGGTCTGTTGGGTTTCTGCAGCACATTTAGTCTGTGACTATTTTAGCAGTCTGCAGAAACTGTACATTAATAATTATGGGTGTGGGCCCTTAAGCCACCCTGATTACTCAGGCTATGCTGGCGAATGGCAACGCCAGTGGCCTAGTCAAAGGGAGAGTGGGAAGATGATTCAAGGTACACCAAAGTGTTCCCCTCTGACTGATGCTCAAGAGATAACTACATTCTGGGGAACCTGCCTCAAGAATCTTTGAGCAATTTGTGAAATACTTATGTGGTTACAAACCAAAAATTTCTTTGGTGTTTTTCAATCTTGCTCCACGAAGTAAGAGACTTTCAGGTCCAAGAGGTCTGAAAAAGAAAGAGCTCAATTTTTATGTTGACAGAACACAGTATATCAACAGCCATTTGCTTAGATGTCCACTCCACCAATTCCAAAATGCAACTTGCACCAAATGAGAATAAACAACAGGGATAAAACTAAGGTTCATTCAAGGTGAAGAAAGCTATGCGTGACATTTCATCCTTGGTAACAGTCAAGAGCCAAACAGAACAGGTAACATTCCCATTTTGCCTAAAGTAACTCAAAACAGAAGATGAAATGGGGAGGGAGGGGAAGGAGGTATACACTGCAGTTAAGATAGCTTGTTCATAAAAGGGGCTACGACAAGTTAATGGAAGACTGCCCTTGATAGACGTCTTAACACTATATGGACTCTCTCTGGTGTGGAGGCTACTAAATACCAGCTGATGGGGGTGGCAGTCTCCTACTGCTGTTGATCCTCAAATCTAGTTTCTGAGTATCCTGCAGGCATCTGACTGGCCACTGGAGGAAAAAAATGCTAAACTAAAATGGACTTATGGCATGATCCCGAAGGACTTTTAATTCTCCTGTGCACGTCTAAGAACTAAAGAACATTTGGTTTCAATAAATTCATCCAACATTAATTAGCTGCACATTTCAAAAATTCCTGCAGTAACTCCAGGATTATTTGTACCTGTAGCAAGTGTAGCATCTGCATGTAATGCTCACACCACTAAACAGTGGCTGTACTAGCTTCCGTTTCTTTTATAACGTCATTATTATCCTACCATTTAACAAGACGCAAACCTTGGGCAACTCACAATTTCATTTCCCAATTGCAAACAGGAGGTTGGACTTGTAAAATTACAGTTCTGTGTTATTTTTTACTGCAAGGACAACTCCAACTCCCGCAGTTACTCTTAACAGATACCCCTGGGGTGTTTGAAACTCCTTCTGTTCCAGTAGCTACTGTACCAGTATTTAAGGATGTGTTTATGACTCCAGGAGAGTTAAGTCAGTAAATGGAGGCCCTCGGTCAAATAAGGCCGCTACCCAGATGCGTGTTGTCAGTCTCTTTTCCACAGCTATCACCCCAGAGAGGAAAGATATGGGGAAATGTTATGGGGAAATGTTGGTGTAAGGACAGGTTTGTAAGCTACTTTAGGGGAGAAGCATGGTGCACGCCAGAAACTTCTCTGATTGACTGTCCACAGAAACCAAGCTGTTTAGGCTTGGGAGAACAATCATCAATTGCATTAGATCACATTTCATCTGGTGGTGGGGCAGTCTACTTAGGGAAAAACAGTTTCTATAAATCATCTGTAAATTCAGGATTAGTATATACGTGAGAGATACATCTTCTTAAAGGATTGACATGATTAATGGATCTTATCAGCAAGAAATAAAAACTGGCTTTGCAAGTTAGTTCACTCCAAACTGGTCAAGCTGGGATACAGCAGTTCATGGGATTACTAACTGCAGGAAGAAGTCACAACCTGTAGCCACCTCTTCACAGTTTCTGCTACAAAGAAAGCCTAATTAACTGTCCAAGATTATGTAAGAAGCACTGGAACTGAAGTTGGCACACTCCCTAAAAGTATTTATGTGCTAGCAAAACAAGCTCTGGAATAAGGAAGCAAATTCTTTACTAACTACCTGAACGTTCTCTGCTACACAATTAAGACGGTCATTTTCTCATAAAAATGCTATCAAAATATTGAGGAAGTAGGATGCTAGACTAAAATAGACCTACGGCCTGATCCAGCAGTTTTTGTGGGTTTTAATTCTGTTATGAATACCTGTCAAAGAAGATTGGTGGTTTCAATAAATACACCCAATTTTTCAAGTAGCACAAAAGAAGGAAATTAGGGGGCAATCCTAAATGTGGGAAGCCAGCATAAGTTACAATGGGTTAAATAATGCTAGCGTAAAGTATGCCAGAGCCAATCTCCATTCAGAAGTTTGGCCTAAGTCCGGAAGAGGAAAAACAAGTCTTTAAAACAGAGTTGCAACACACTTTTTGCAAGCTTAACTTACACGAGATTGCCAGGTCATGTACTCAAACTGAATGGGCTTAGCATAAATTAGAGGGTTTTTTTTTAAAAAAATTAACTCAACTCAGTTAAGGAACTGCAGCTTATGCCTCCATGATCCAGCAGCCACACCTATGTCTGATCTGGGCAGTCCCAGGCAGGCAGCAAAAACACAAAATTGTCCCACACAGAGCCAGGTCCTTGGCTCATTTTGCGCAGTATTTTGTACTGACAGCATTTCACCAAGGCTTCAGGAAGATGCCTTTAAAAAGCATTTCTATGAACTGGAGATGCGAGGCACTGAATCTGGAAACGTCTTATGTGCAAATTATGTGCTCTATCACTGAGCTTCAAGCCATTTACTGAGTCCCTGGTGGCTGATGGATTGCCCCCAGCTTGGTGGTTCACAAGCTGTGGAGCCCTGCTGTAAACACATGCTGTTTAAATTCAAGGCAAATCACATGACCTTTACCAACGCTTGGCTTACCGTACTATTTCCTCAATTTGTTGACTTATTGTTATTCGTCCAACGAATCTGCAAAAGAGATTAATGTGTCAGAAAGACATATTTCTTCTATTCCAGCTCTGCGAGTTAGCAAAAACTATGCAATAGAAGGAAGAGAATGTTTGTTTATTTATAAAATTTGTCTACCACCCTTCATCCGAAGATCATAGGGCAGCTGACCAAAAAAGAAAATAAATACGAAATGAAAACACAAAATTCATAATAAAACAAAAGCAAAACAAACCAATAAACCCCCTCCTGTGATCTGACAAAGAAATCCTCCTGGTTTGTGAAGGATTTCAGAATGCTGCAGAGATCTGTTCCAAATGCTGAAGGTGTTACCACTATAGGGCAGTGCAAAGTAACTGATTTAAAAAAGAAACTACACAGATCTCCAGAGCTTTTGAAAACTATGGAACAGTCGTTCTCATTCTACAGCTGCGCAGAGTGATGCAGATTAATGTTCAAATCTATTGACCCATTAAGTCAGGCATTGTCAACCTGGTCCCTACCGCCCACTAGTGGGCATTTCAGGATTCTAGGTGGATGGTAGGGGGTTCTATAGCACAAGCTGAATCCTCCTTCCATCGAGCACTGGTGGGCGCTAAGAAAATTTTACCATCTAGAAAGATGCATTAGTGGGCAGTAGGTATAAAAATGTTGACTACCCCACATTAAGTAATCTGGTCCTTGCCAGGCCTTGCAATCAGGTTTATCATTTAAAAAGTGGACGTTTAAGTCAGGAGTGTTATGTATGCACCGTCAGTACAAGGTTCTCTGCTAGTACTTACAGATTTAAGTAGCTCATGCATTCACATAAAGATAAGAATTTCTAGAAGAGTTTTCTGCAAAATCATCTAATCCTTAGAACACTATAAACATTGCTTTCCAAATCCTCTTTGGGGGAAAAATATATTTTAAAAAATGACACCTGTATAGATCTGCTTCTGGTTGCTGACATTCTATAACAGCTACAAGTTTGTCCAGATTGGCAACTGACTGCAATACTGCTGTTTCGGGGACTGCAACATGCGTCTGAAATAAAAAGAAATAATCACTCAGGTTCCATTAGGCAACAATAAGCAGCATATTGTGCAAATGCTAAAAAGACATAGGCTTGCAACTTACACACACATATATACACACACACATTAAACAGAGCTGTCTGGTTAAGATACCAACTAAGCCTCCAAACCGCATCTTAAATTTTCCAGTACATCAGCAGCTCCCAAAGCAACACTGAGTGCACATAAACGACGATTTGTCAAGTGCTAACTTGCCAAAATGTGCATATTACCTTTTGAAAAATCAGTCAGCTGTACTGTGCTGCATCTGTTCAGAAATCCAAAGTGTTTAGATTTCTCATCATTTAGCAGAGCAATGCAGAGGATAGGCTTATCAGGTGATTTACATGCACACCACTTGATAAAACTGTTGCAGGCTTTTGACTGATGAGCAAACACAGAATATCAATCTTGGGTGGGGCAGCCATCCCCTCAAGTTACTGACCCCTATGCTTACAGAATGCACACATCATCACATGCACATAAGCCTTGCATCTCTGGTACGCCGGTAGTACACACACAGTTTTGTTCATAGCACAGAACATGCTTTTCTTACAGATTCTTCTATCTATAGAGAGTTATAAAATTATTTTCAAGGGCAGACAGTAGTAACTATTTCAGAATGAGAATACCGTAAACACATACATCAACTGCAGTTCTGTCACTTGCTATTTTAACTGTGTACAGGTATAACTGAAATTAGGTTCATTTTTCTCCAGGTCATGTCACTACTGATGCAGACCTTGGTTTAAACAACATGCTTTGAGATTCTGATATTCTGAGGTGCACCCAGGGGAATTCAACATTCTCCTTTTCTGTAAGAGGGATTTGGAATATATCAATCTTGGTTATCAGGAAACAAAACCTAAATCTAACTTAAGGTATACAAAAGGTGATGAAAACAGACCTTAAGATTAGTTTCTCCATCCAAGCTTGCAGTAGTAACGTAGCAAGAGCCATCTGCTCTGTCAGATGACAGAAGTACGAGATCAACAGGGAAAGTTTCATCTTTGGCTACTCTGACAATATCTCCCACCTGAGAAGACAGGCAAAAATATCTGTTCAAATACACCTTCACAAAAATATTTTTGTAACTTTCATTAACACATGCTATATAAAGCAACGGCCCTTTAAATTACCTTTTTAATTTGCATGTATACACACACAAACACACACACACACTTTTGAAATGTTCAAAATCATTTTGCACTGCTCACACACATACCCGAATGTTCTTTGATCTTGTTTTTACAAGGCCACCACTGCGAACAACATACACTGGAGCTCCATTCACTTCATTGTCTGCTTTATGGCGTAACCAATCTTCATAGCCCTGGAAAAGATGCAAAGAAACATTTTGGGCGGGAGGGGAAAGCCAACAATACACATAACTGCCTAAGAAAAAGCACCTGTGCAACCAATTTGCTGATAACTACAGGCAACTCCCAATTTATGCACATTCTATTTGCTCGCAACCGTGCACACGAGCAGTGCTGAGGAACTGGAAATGGGGAGCATCCTAGAGAGTCTGCCTGGCTCACAAACAGACCCTCCCCAGAGCCCGAAGAGGACGTCCTCTCTGGGCTCCAGGCAGGTTGTTCTCACAAGCTGGAGAGGCAGCAGGGTTTTATTGAGCAGCTCAGCCTAAGAGCTGACATCTGGGGTAGCGCAGCAACAGCTGTGGCTTCCCTGTGTGTCAGCTGAGAAGTCCCGCTGCCCATCCAAGCTCACGTGGAGGCTGTCACCAGAGCCCGAAGAGGAGCTCCTCTTCAGACTCTGGGGAGTGAGCCTGAGGCTTGTTGAGGTTGCTCAGCTGATGTGCGCAGGAAAGTTGCTTTCCTGTATGTCAGCTAGGCTGGTTGACAAAGCTCTGCTGTCCCTCTGGCTCACGTGAGATGAACTGTGGCGCTTGTTTGTGCAATATGGAGGGGCAGCAGTGCTTGGTTGACCAGTCCAGCTAACGCACGGTGAAGGTTCCTGCACATCAGCTGAGCGAGCCAGGGTGGGAAAGCGGGGCTTCCTCAGATGACACGCAGGCAAGCTGCTGCTGCTATTGCACTACCCTGCACATCAGCTGTAAGACAGGGAGGCTGAGCAGTTCAGAAAAGCCCCACTACCCCTCCTTGAGGACTCTTCCGGGGTGCTCCCCATTTTATGCAATTTTATGCAAATAGGAGTCTAAACTGTAACCCCCACGTAAATGGGGAGTCACCTGTATAACATATCAAGCCAAGAATAAGGATCAGCAACTGGCAGCCCAGTTGGCTCTAGGTAGGGTGTTGTTTCCGCTTTAAATTGTGTTCCGTGACCAGAAATGTAACTTTTTAGCTGGCTTTGTGATAGTTGGGCTGAGAAAAAAATGACTTAGGATAGAAAAAGAAGGGGAAAATAAGCAGCATTTTGTATTGTCGATATGCAACTCAAATTCACTAGGCAAGAGGTGACACAGATAGCCTCAGAAACTTATTAGAATTTCCATCACAGCACCTGCCTGCAGACATGCTATGACACATGTCCTCTACAAATGGGACAGGTCACGTCCACTAATGGGATAATCTGCTAGGTGTTGCAGTTCAGCTCATGTGGAATCTCCCAATACATTGTCAAATACAGTCAATGCTGCCTTCAAGACACACTCAAGTGATTTTGCCATATTTATGGCCAGCATGTGTATTACAGAAATGTTCCCAAAGAAGACAGAGCTGGTGTGAGAAATCTTGTAGGCATGCCTGGAGAAGGGTCATGAGAGTCTAGAGGAAGCCACAGATGTCTGGTCTTCCCTTAGTTACCACTAACTTGGCTGACTGCAAGGCAGTGACAGGCTGTGACAAGGCAATTACAATAGGCCTGGAGACTGGGAAGAACAAAAACAAAAACAAGATGTGTACAGCTTTCAAATACAGCATAGCCTCTCTCAGTACATAAGCTATTGTTATGCAAGAACTTACTCCGCTGGGTAAGTGTGAGGCTGCTGGAAATAAGAATTTATAATGCATACTGACATACAAAGTCCTCGCACAAAAACTGGGGGTGAGTCTGTCACTGCCCACTTAGGGGTGTTGCTGTGAGTCACTGACTGCATGGCAGCAAGACAAAAATAACCCTAGGCTGACCTGCTTGATTAGCAACATAAAACATATTTACTTGTTTTCAGCTAGAAGCTAGAGTCTAGTAGAATGCTGCTCAAATCTCATGAAGGTCCAAACAGATGCAACAGCAGCAGACGTGCCCAGAATTTGGCTGGCCGAGCTCCATTACATACAAACCATCTCCCATTCTATCTCAGATGAACTGACAAATCCATAGAACATGTACGACAAACTCATATCTGGACTCTGCTCCACAACTGTCCATTTCTGCCCAAGATTCTCCACTCACTAGTGTATAGAAATGATGAATTTGACTTGTTTCAGGTCAGAATTGTAGGTCACATAGGCCATTCTTGTAGCAAGTTTATCCTCTGCAACATACAGGATTGCATAGGGTGGCATCATGACATCATGTTAAGCACTGCTTTGCAGTGTGATGATGCCATAACACAAGGGAAGCAGCCCTACACATGCTGGAAGACAGGGAAGTAACCTGAACACAGGGATGCTCTGTTCTGTATTGCACAAAGAATGTCCATCTGCCCTCAGCCTTCTAAAGCACCTGTGTTTCCTTACCTGCTTTATGGCAGTCACAGTTATTACAAAAAACAATGGCAATCCACTGGTTATTGGACTTGTAGGTGTATCTATCATAAGCTGGAGAGGAAAACAAAGATGAAGACAGCGTCAGCACATGTCCAGATTGGGAGAAGCTATAGCCACAATAGTACACTGAACGCAGGGCTCTACAAGTCTTAGCTGGGCTTGGTAGTTAGCCAGTGGTTGTGACTGGCACTGACTCTGCCCCATCCCCAACTCCTCTCTACCACATGAACTTTTGGGAATGGTATGCTGGTTCCAAGTGGCTGCAAAGCCTGGTCGAACGTTAGGCATGTACCAATCAAAGTGCAGGGCTCATCCCCCATGTCATGTTGGGCTTTAGAAACACTTAGGACAACAGCAAGTGAGAATGAAGAAAACATGGTGTCCATCAGTCTAGGCTGAGCACAAGGAGTGGACACGGGTCTGAAAAGTGGCTCCCTAGATTTCCACTCTCAGCACAGAGAGGACTGCTCACAGAGCTGCTGGGAGAAGGGCACATGTGAAACAAGATTTCAGCATGACTGAGAGACTGAAGTTGCACAATGCCTAGCAATGTACCTTAATCCTAACTAACAGGTTCCCTTTGCTCTTATTGCAAAATAGGCAATCACAACCTGCCCTATTAACACTGTTGTGCTAACTGCAGCAGAAAATACCAACAAGCTCTGCTTTTATTGTTTTCATGTTGCTGGAAAGAAAACGCCATCTTGCAGGATATGATGCATGTCTTCAAGAAAATAAATGAATGGAACAGCAATTATTCAGAAACTAACATTAATCCAAGAGACTTCCTACCTCTAAGGAGAATTTCACACATCTCTAGGAAGCTAGAATAAGAGATTTTATGCAAACAATCACGAAGGAATTTCAAGGATTAGCATCCTATATAGCCAATCTTTATTGAAAAACAGTTAGGGCAACGTAGTGACAATCTGTCATCCACTTTGAACACTGAAATTTCACTTAAAGGAGCCAATATGTGTGGGGGGGGGGTTTAGTAGTCCAAATTGCTTTGTTTGTAGAGAACTAGTTTTAAGGCTTGCCTACTTATTAGGTATCAGTTTATCAGTTTGCAGCTAAGTACCACTTGGTATTTGTTTTGACAACAAGCTTAGTCACACTTTCATGCAGCGGCATGGGAGGTGCTGCCTTGTGGTCAATCTAAACCATCTGGAAGACTGTGTGGTGCATGCAGCAGATAATGTTAGCAAGTGAGTGAAGTAACCACACAGTGGCACCAGTTAAGTTCTTTCCCACCCACTCACTGAGGCAAATGGCA